ATATAAAATGTATATATGAACTGAAGCCACAGTAATTACAAAAACGACTAAGAAGGAATGATAGTAGGAATTGATATAAAATGTGCATATGAATTGAAGCCACCGTAATTACAGAAAGAACAAAGCAAGAATGATAGTAGGAATTGATATAAAACATATCAAAGCCAGCGAACGAATACATAAACAAGTCAATAAAACAATAAAAAAAGGACAAAACAAAAAAGAGAGTAAGATAGATAACTATTCTTGCTAAAATTTGAAATCGGTAGCATCTATGACTGTCATGAAATTGAATCCTAGTATGATACAAGTGTCAGTGCACACCACAATCTTATATTTGATGTATAACATATCACCACCGTACGAAGGTAGAAATGATCTGTATCTTAAACCAATGAACACCAAGAAACCCAAAAATAGCACACAAAATGAGAAAATAATAATAATAATAAAAAGAAATCCTGTATCTTAAATCCATGAACACCAAGAAACCCATGCAATTACAAAAATAGCACACAAAATGAGAAAAAAAATAATAAAGAAATCCCGGTAACGTGCTTATTTGCGTCACAGCATGATTCCCTTAACTTGTCCTGCCGATCCATCATCTTTCCGCAATCCAATTAACAACTTCTCATGCTGAAAAGAAAACTGAAAGCTGAATGGGGGAAAAGGTCGTCTTTTGACAAGCAACACTACTAGCATTATCAGCAAATTCGCCGGACTAGATGGTCATCCGCACAATCCACTTTGACAACTCATCAATCTCATAGCACGATTTAAACATATAATAATGATCCTACGAAACGAAATCGATACGTTTAGACCTATCCCCCGATCGAGAACATCAAGCAGCAAATGTTTGCGTCGAGGCTTACATGCGAACTTAAGTTCCTGAGGTTGGATTTCCACAAGCACTTGACCCAACCCCATCGCGCTTTCGTCCTCCGACGACGATCCAGAAATAGGAAAAAAAGAATTAGTTCAAGACCAAAAGCCAAAGATCGAGAGATCGAGATGGAAAAGAGAAAACCAAGTGTCGGGAAGAAACCCTACCGGTGATCGCCGGTTGGACTTTTGGGTCGCGTCGAAAGACGGCGAATTCGCCTCTCAGATCGATAGCATTCAAGTCGATAGCAAAAGATGGAGTAAAAGATAAAAGAGTTGATGAACGGTTGCCGGACAACTTTTGGTGTGACCTCTTTAAGACGGCAGAGAGAGAGAGAGAGGATGGATCTGCTGTGTCGTCGATTTCTTGCAATAGGAGAACGTGTCAAAGGTGGCTCGTTTGAATCCACTAGTGGTGGGACCTTGTTGATGACGTGTTGAATTACGGTTCGAGAAGCTCTTACGCTGCTGTTTGTGGTCAGGCAGTTGGATTTGACGTTAAAGGCTTTTTGCTTCTCGAAACGCGCAAAATCTCGCGACCTTTTAACTTGAGGAGATTTTTCGAAAAAGGCCTTATTTAGACCTTTTTTTACCGTATATGACCCTTTTCAGGTTTTTCTAATAATCTTTTCTTTCTTTCTTTCTTTCTCCAACTAATTTTGAATATATTGTTGATTTGACAGTAAATTATTTATTTATTTATTGTATAAACTGATCTACAGGATGAATCAATCTCTCGAATTAGATCGATTTCCATTGATTACAATATTTTTATTGTATCCTAGAATTTTTTATTATTTTTTTAAGGTTGATTCCTATACATAAATATTTTCTAATATTTTTCATAAGGATATATAAAATATTATTCTAATATGTTTTCAGCTCATTTTCCACTTTTACAATGTTTTGATTGTGATATTTTTAAAAATATGTCAAAAACATTATAACCATATTGAAATGATATATTTTCAAAAACACTGTAACCCTATTATAAAACATTATAACATGAGAAAAATAAACTCAAAGATATATTAAGAAAGTACTTCTGAGCCTTGCTTGGATCTTAAATAGATATGGTTTCTTATTTAAGAAAATAAACATTCAAATAATTTGACTTCTCTATAAGTTACAATATTTTTCGACATGGTTACGATGTTTTTAATATATTTTCAAAAATACTGTAATTTTATTACAAAACACTATAATAGAGAAAAATAAATTAGAAAAATATTTATAAACCTTGCTTATATATCCTTATGAAAAAAAATATTTATGATTCTTATATGATATATATAGTATTTTTATAATGAGTTAAAATATTGTAAGCAATACAAAGAATTGATGGTTTGTTGTGGATAGGTAGGAATACAAGACACATATATATATTTCTTAATAAGACAGGAATGAATGGGTAGGTGAAGACATGGAAGTTTTTACTTTCCACAGGATTGGATGTGAATTCTTGGCACAACCAACACATCATAGATTTGGATTAGGTTTATGTGGGTATTGGTTATAAATTTAGTGACATAATGAAATCTGATTAATAGAATGATTGATCACAGATTTATGGAATTGAGACAACTAATGTGCATGTTTCAATTCATAATCTAAGTCATAAGTGTTAATTTTCAAATTATGAGTACCAAAGGGACCACATCACAAAACCATGTTGATCTTGATTTTCTTATAAGTCGATACCAAGTCGACCTTCTAAGACCCTTTTAATCACACCTGAAGATCTTGCACACATGGGTTTAAACAATGTTTGATTAATCTAACTATCGTCGATATTATCTATAATATTTTGACTTTAGAAGAAGAGTTTGCATGTTGTATGTTGTAAGAACGTTATCTCGAATAGTCTAGTGAGAGTTCTCTGACCTGGACTCAGCACTTTCTGACCCTTGATACCTCCAGCACAAACCCTTCTATAGTTTTGATGATTATTCAAGAACTAGTCTTTTCCCTCTCGTGAAAACTTCAACTCACGTGATGATCTCTATAGAGGTTTGTGCTAGTAGGTGCAGATGTTGATTAGGATGATATAGTTTATCTTTCTTTTATGTAGTGTCTAAGTCTCACACACGTTGAATTATAATTAGTATGCTAACAAAAGTATAAATAATATGTATATATTTTTATCGTTTCATGATATAATTTGTGATGTGTATGCTTTATAAATATGATAAATAATATATTCATGTTTTTGACTTTTAATACTAAAGAACATATTTTTCAAAAATATCATTCTCTGGACTTAAATATGAGATTAAGTTATGGTAATAAGTATACATATAGTGACTAAAAGTGACAATTGAATTGTAATCGACCTTAATGAATCTTAATGCTTGAATAAGTTTAAATATAATTAAAATAAAAAGATTTAAGTTTTAAACCACATGTATATGAATGATAGAGTAATGAAAAATTAAATAAGAATAAAAATCAAAGAGAAGTGTTATACTAAATGTTGAGATACTTAAGTGAGATTGTATGATGAGTTTAAATCAAAAATATCATCTTTATCCAAATCAAATTATAACTAATAAGTTTAGCTAATTATTAGAAGATTTATTGGAAATCTTGAATATTCTCTTCTCTTACAATTTTTTGGTTTTCTTTAATCTTTCTTACACCTCTTTTTTATCTTCCATGTTGTTTTATCTCTTCTTCTCTTGTTCTTCTTTTCTCTTTATTATACGCCTCTTCATCATCATGCTTCGATGCATTTATAATAGAATTTTTAATTTTAAATAATATCATCTGATACGGGCAGTATATATCAATCCAACAATATATCAGTACGTGAATTACTCACTATCGGGTGGAACGCTCAACATTATCTTATATCAGGCGATAACGATTGAAATTTCGATCATTATCACTCGATATAGCTCGGTAATAATGATCAAAATCGATTGTTACAAATCTATAATAGTGTTCCAGCAGTCAAATTAATTCTTGGAGCCTTTTCTCATGGGTTTTTTAACTCATCCTCTCCCATGTTTCACTCTCAAACTCATTTTTTTTTCTCATATTTGCACTCTCCTATATTTTATAAAACAATGATTTATAAATTAAATTGAGGCTAATTTAAAAAAATTTAAGAAGAAAGAACCTTTTAATATTCTCTTTATTTAATCTGAGAATAATTAAGATCTTTAATATTATGATTAGTATATTTAATATTACTTAATTTAAAATTAAAATATTTAATATTATATTTTATACATATTAAATATTGAAAGATACGTGGTGGCTACATAAGTAACTATAAGAATGATGAAATGTATGTGGTGGCTGCATGAGTATTACTATCATTTGGAGGTCTTCATTCATAGCCACAAAATTTAGAGTCGGTAATGGTCAAACTAATTTTTTCTCACATCCGTACTCTCCTAAATTTTATAAAATAATAATTTTTTAATTAAATCGAGATCGAAAATATTAAGAGGAAGAACATTTTAATCAAGAGATATATATTTTCTTTCTTTAATTAGAGAATAATTAAGACCTTTAATATTATGATTAATATATTTAATAATAATTAATTAAATATTTAATATATATATATATATATATATATATACATATTTCATGTATATTAAATATTGAAAGATATGTGGTGGCTGCATAAGTAACTATAAGAATGATGAAATGTATGTGGTGCCTACATAAGTATTACTATCATTTGGAGGTCACATAGGCCTTCATGCAATGCGCATTCATAGCCATAAAATTTAGAGTCGGTAAGGGTCAAAATTGATTGTATCTTTTCTCATGGGTTTTCAAACTCATCATCTTCCCTATTTCATCTTAGACTCTCTTAAACAATCTCAAACTAATTTTTTCTCACATCTATACTCTCCTAAACTCTATAAAGTAATAATTTTTAAATTAAATCGAGACCGAAAAGATTAAGAGGAAGAACATTTTAATCAAGAGATATGTATTCTATTTCTTTAATTAGAGAATAATTAAGATCTTTAATATTATGATTAATATATTTAATAATAATTAATTTAAAATTAAATATTTAATATATATATATATATATATATATTTCATGAATATTAAATATTGAAAGATATGTGGTGGCTGCATAAGGCTAAGTAATGCAGTCTTTGTGCATTCATAGCTATAAAATTTGGACTCAGTTGTAAGTTGACATAGGCCTTATGCAATGCCTCTTTAAGGCTAAGTAAGAACAATTTCATGGCGAGTTGCACGATCATTCACCGATCCTGAGAGAACACAGTACGTCTTCGCCTGGATTCCAGGAATCTACTCAGGGTGGCGGAAATCGCAAATATTTGCACGCAGTGAAGCCACCATCCACCACTAGATTGTGTCCGCTGATGTACTTGGCCTCATCCGAAGCCAAATACACCGCCGCATTCACCGCGTCCTCCACCTCGCACTTCGTCCCCTCCAACTCCCCCGTGGCCTCGATCATCTCCTTCACCCGCCGAACGTCTTCCTCCGCCGTCATCTTCTTCACGGCGTTGATCCCGAACGGCGTCGGCAGCGCATGCGGCGAGATGCAGTTCACCCTGACCCCGTGCTTGCTGAGCTCCGCCGCCGCCGACCTCGCCGCCCCCAGCACCGCCGCCTTCGACACTGAGTAGACGAGCGGCGTTATCCCGCCGAGCACCCCGGCGATGCTCGCGGTACACAGAATGCACCCGGCGCGGCGCGGGACCATCACGCGAGCGGCGTGCTTGATCCCCGCCACCACCGACCGGGCGTTGATGGCCATGGTGCGGTCGAAGTCGGCGAGGTCGAGGTCGGTGATGGACATGGCAAGGGATCCGGCGACGCCGGCGTTGTTGAACATGATGTCGAGATGGCCATGCTTGGCGACCGCGAGGTCGACGGCGGCGGCGACGTGGGGCTCCTGGCTGACATCGCAGCCGACGAAGGTAGCGGCGGGGCCGAGCTCGTCAGCGGTGGCTTTGCCGAGCTCGTGGTGGACGTCGGCTAGGATGACTTTTGCGCCGTGGCGGATGAACTCAGCTGCGCTCGCTTTGCCGATGCCGCTGGCGGCTCCGGTGATGACTGCAACTTTGCCGGCTAACCTGCTAACGGTCAAAACTTGGTATGGGTTTAAAGAGTTTGAGATTGGTTTTTGTTCTTCCAGAGACAAATATAACTTGAGAATTATTCTCACAAAATCGATAGCAAATGATCGGTGACGTACTAAGATCTATCCAACAGCAGCAAATGATTAGCGTTCATAAGCAACATCACATCATATTTTATCTTTATAATACTTACTAATAGAAAATAAAATTAAATATTTTTTAGTTACTTTGATATCATTTTTTTTTTGAAGTCAACATAATTGATAAAGATATGGATAAGGAATCATATCCAACTTCACTTTGTCAGAATGCATTTAGTGTGAAACACACGTTTTTTCTTATTCAACTTTCATTCTCAACCATATAGCGCTCGAGCGGGCGCGCGCGCGCACACACACATTCACACGCGCGTGCGCGCTCACACACACACACATTCGCATGGGCGCGCTCACACACACACACACACAACACTCTCATTTAAATATTTTTTTACATTGAGATATCATCCCTAAGCCCAATGGAGAAAAGCAGTGAGAAAGTAGGAAAGAAGATTAAGTTAGACCAAGAATGGTTGTCAGGTTTTAGCAGCCATTATTATCACAGAAATCAGCAAAATTTTGGAGTAATACTGCTTGCTGCATAGGCACATCAAAGGTTTCTTTGCCCACTAAACAATATGAAGACAGTTCCTTTCTCTCTCTTAACCATGTTTGATGAGTTCATGTCAAACAATGATATTTCTACCTATCTATCTAATCATTGACATCAAACAAACATAAAGGTTTTGTCTAACTAGTTACTAGCAATTTATGTAGTTCACACTCTTGTGGATGTGTCTGGGACAAAACCAGCCACCTTTTAGTTGCCAAATCTGAGCCACCATTACACAATTCCAAGAGAAGAACAAGAACAAGAGATGGTTTAGCAGGAAATCATACCTTGCAGGCTGTGTGGAGAAGTAGTGCTGTTGCTGCAGATGGCTGACACCACCTCTCATCGCCCAAATCCTTTTGCACCTGAAAACCATAACCAGAGAACACATCATTCTCTCTTTCACATCATTCTATCTCGGATCGAAGTCGTGGCGAGATGAAGAAGAATATACACAAAAGTAGATATGATCATCTTCTTAGTTTCTTCTCTTGTTTCTTCTACCAAAAGAGATAAGAAGCTCGATCTAGATTTACTTCCGAAGGATATCTGATGGAGTCAAACAAAGAGAGGAGACAAGGAACAAGTTGGAGTGAGGACCACTGATGGAGAAGGGAGGGTTGGAGAGAGACAAACAATGACAGCAGCATGGAAAATGCAGCCCAACAAGTCTCATCACCACTGTTGATAGCCCACACTATTGGTTTTTATTTAAACCTAATAAAAAAATTACAAACTTCTTTTATATTTATAATTTTATTTTAATATTCCTAGGATATTCTTTTACAAAGGGATATAAACGTTGTCGACTTGTCATTTAATTCTAATACTCTTCCAATTTTTTCATATAATTTTATTTTTTTATCGAAAGGAAGCGATGCAACTAGGTTTTCGATATCGATGGTTGTGAGGATGATTGATCCAAATAGGTTACATAAAATAATGATAATTGAGGAATTATGAGAAATAAGAATACGATAGATAATTGAATGATTGTATTAGAAAAATTATATTTTATTATTTCTTAAGATAATTGTATGAAGTTAGAGATTACCAATAAGAATTAGTCCTTTATAGAAGCACCAGACACTAATTCTGAATTGATTCACTCATTGTAGATTGGTTTAATCTGTTCACCATTTCTGACATTATAAGACAAAACTGTGAGAAAAGGATGGTACATGGTAAAAGTAATATAAAATAAGGCATCTAACTACAGTAAAAAAAACTATTGAAAAAATTGACTAATTAATTTTTTTTGTGAGTTTTTTGATGCCTTTGTAGGATTAGCAAAAACGAGAATTGGGGAGTAGAAATTGTCTTTTTTATTTAGATCATCATTAAGTATCATTAGAGTATCATCCAAAAGATTAAAAAAATATATTAAACTCTTAGTGTAATTTAGATGCACCAAATTGGTTAGTATCCTTCTTCTTCTACCGTTGTCTATATTTATCACCATCACATTCTAATGTTCATGATCAATTGATACATAGTTGTTTATTCGAGTTGGGATGATGATTCAAATTCAATTGATATCCATTCTAAGTCAATTTAAATCTAGGTCACGATTTATAGAACACTAAACCCATAAAAACTAAATCAGGAGTTTTCTCGATAAATATCCCTCGGATGATCAAGTTGGTTTTGGGGTTTGAACTAATTAGTTAATGCTAACATGAATTATGTTTAAGAGCGAGTCTTTTTTATATATGACTCTAGAAATGGTTATGTTGATGGTTGGAGGTGATATTTTTGGTTGAGTGTGAGTCTTTTTTATATATGACTCTAGAAATGGTTATGTTGATGGTTGGAGGTGATATTTTTGGTTGAGTGTTTGTCGTATCCAATGCATGCCAATCATGGGATTCAGACAGTCAATTGATTGATTGCCACATGATTATGTGTCTATCGTATCACCCTTTACTGGCCCCTCATTTTTGGGTTATTAGGTTATAGAGCTATCGAGGGGTTTGATGTTCGACCTCTCAATTGGGTGTCATCGAAATATGCATTCAGAATATACATTCGAACTTTTGACGCATCATCAAAATATGCATTCGACCTTTGAGTTGTTGAAATACATATAGCTTGATTGTGAGCACTTCATCTAAACCTGGATCGAAACAGTGTGTAGGTAGTATGACCAGTAATACGGGCAAACCACCTCAGCCATTGCAAGCAAATAATAATCTGTGTAAAATAATTAGAAAAAAATAAATTGGAGAGGAACATTCATTCTTTAAGAAACTGTCTGAAACAAGAAGAAGACCAATACAACATACAATACCAATAAATTCAGGGATATCATCATTATTCCGAGTGCAGCAATGATGTGCCTATAACTTGAAGTGATCAATCAAAGATCTACTGCTTAATTCTTTACCGAAGAAGGTCCCCATGAACTCTGCCATGGTGAAGTTCCTGTAGCGTGCAGGTTTCACCGGTGATACTAGCTCTGGTAAAGGTCCATAGAAGACCGACTCCCCACGCTTTCCAGGGTTGAAGAAGGTTGCAACGGAGACTCTGGCTTCTTGATGTGGATTAGCCAACACCCTGTGTTCCACACTCTTGTATTCGTCATTGGACATTATCTGCACAAAAGAGAATATATATATATATATATATCTATGAGCAACAAACTCCATGGAAAACTTGGGAACATCAAAAGTTGGCATCCTGCTGTAGAACATGCGAAACAAAAGGCAGAGGAAACCGATATAAATTGAGAGAAAGGGAAGGCTTTTACTGATACATGTAATCCAACAATAAGAATCTTACAAATGGATGCAATCTGGTTCCATAAAAATGACAACAAAATTCCTCTTGCCACTACTTATGCCATATCGTGCGACCTCTCCACCTTTCTTTTCATTAGAACAGTTACGGTAATACAAATTGCCATGGTTGATCTCAGATGATCAAGGGATTGTAATTACAGAGGAGATAATGGTCAGCTAAGCAGAAAGTTTAGGGACGAGATCATCATTCATGACCCCTTGCTACTCCTGAGGCACTAAAGCTCAAGTTGAAGCAAACCACATCATCATTAGCATGATCATGAAGAAGATACAGAATAATTCTGAGGTATTATGAGCATATCAAACTTGTGGAAGGATATGGGCGGGTACTCTAATGCTTTATACTATGGCGTTCAGCCATGATGTGGCTTTGTCTATGGAAATCAATGTTGGTTCATTAAGAGTGATCACAAGCAAACAATGCATATGGAGCTAGAAAAGTTGCACAACATAAGGTTGTTGGCTCATTATCTGTTTAAGATCCAGCAACCAAGATTTTTCATTATGAGTTTTTCTTGAAAATGAAAAGAAAATTACCAGTCAGTAAGAAAGATCCAGTGAATGGAAAATGGGTACTTATTTAAAAAGATTATGTGAAATATATAGAAGTTTTGAAGGGAATGCATATGTGCAAATTGATCTGATTGGAAGTATATGAATCCAATCAGTAATAACAAAGCTGTACCGAAAACAAAAATCTCACAACCAGGTAGCAATGTGCAGGCCGATAGCTACTATATCTTTGATCCAAGTTGACTAATATAATGGTCAGCTCCATTGGTGAATGCACTTGATATGGAATCAAAATAAGCCAAGCCGACTAAAAACAAGCCAACCAGCAGAATAGCATAAAGACCAGTTAGAGACCGGTATCTTCAGTCGATTGATCACAATATAAGGAAGCAA